TGGATACTTTTTAGATGACCCAATGTATATACGTTTTACAAGCATTACTCAAAATGTCGTTTATTATTCACGTTCGCTTTGACGATGTAAATATATTTCACGACTTCTTGTGAACGCATATATATATATAAAATAACGTGTGTGTATATGTATGTATGTGTGTGTATATATATATATGTGTGTATATATATATATATATATATATATAGTATCCGAAAAAAGATTAAAATAGATTGAAAATTTTTAATATATTTTAATCCATTTAAACCCAAATTCTTAATCCATGTATATGGAATATAGAAAAGAATTGAACGGTAATTATACGTAAAATTGAATCATTTTCTATTCATATGGGAATAGAACATAATTCTTTTTATGGATTCAAATGGATTCAAACGGATTCAAATCAGCTTTAGAGAGAAAAGCACTCCTTGTTGTTCGCCAATGTTAAACAAGAATGAGATGATCACTGTTATACTGAGTCGTTTATTGGAAGGTATCCAGTATAACTACATAATTATAACTACATAGTATAACTACATAATTATACAATACTATGATCCAATGCTACTGCTAGAACTATGTTGAATGATATTCAAAGCTGCATTCCTATTGCGATATTCTGTCTTGTTTTAATTTCTATCTAATTAATATTAAAAGTAGACTATGCCACGCTTTACTATTGTGTTACGCTTTTTTAGCTCAATTTCTTGGCATCGTTCATAGTTTCTCTTTTTTCCTTCACGTTAGAGAGAAAAGGATGAAAAATGAACCATGAAAGAAGCCCAGTTAAAAAGAACAGACCTATAATAGCACTAACTATTATCGATTCGTCGTTCCTCCTCAATTCCCTGTTCCTCTGTTTACGTGATGTGACGTGGTGGCTGTGGTGCAGACGGTGCAGACCGTGCAGCAGGTGATCGTCGTGATCGTGTACTGTACGGTGTTGGTGGCGGGATAGTGGATACACAAGTAGCCGTTCGAATTAACAGCCCTGGAAATTATTCTTGATTACTGTAGGCTACCGCACGCCCAACTTTCATCATGTTGCAGTCAATATTTGACGATGTACGACGTATGAATAAGCGCCAGGTAAATCTTTCACGACGACGGTTACCGTTAAACTGGTGATGTTCGCATATGGTGACTATGTAAGAATGTTCTGATTTTCAGTTTTTATATCAACTGCTGAGCTTTGGCATGATAGTCTCGTCAGCGTTGATGATATGGAAGGGTCTGATGGTCGTTACCGGCAGCGAGAGTCCTATTGTGGTTGTATTGAGGTACAGAGCATAGCTAACCTAACTCCACCTATACGTCTATATATGTCTAATCGCGTTTTTAATTAATTTTTAATTGGCTATTATTGCTACATTTGTCAAGTTGAAATCAATACTACCTGTTTGCATGAATGATAACATATATTACATTTTTTGCTGTAAAAAAAGTTTTTTGTTATTCGCATACGATGTACAAAATACGTTAAGATATAATAAACTTGATGATTGAAGATTTGTATTGTAATATTGCATTGTTAGTATAAATATATTCAAGCATACAAAGGAAATATTGATCAATAATGTTTAATAGGCTGATACTGATTTCATGTTTGTTTCAGTCAAAGACATAGAGAATGGACTACTCGATCATATATAAGTAATATTGACAAAAATGAGAGAGAGGGACTGTGGAAGATGGCCAATCTTTCTTTCATTCTCTCTTGTTATATTATTGAATAGAAAGAAGTAAAGATTGGCCATCTTCCACGGTTCCTTTCTCTCATTTTTGCCGACCATACTACTTAGATATGATCGAGCAGTCCATTCTCTGTTTTTTGGTTCTAGTATATTGAATGTTATTCAATTCCTTTTAGTGGGAGTATGGAACCTGCGTTTCACAGAGGTGATTTGCTCTTCCTCACCAATTATCAAGACGAACCAGTGAGAGTAGGAGAGATCGTTGTTTTCAAAGTCGAAGGCAGAGACATACCTATTGTACACAGAGTACTTAAACTTCATGAGAAGTAAGACTCTTATGATGCATTTTGTTAACAATATCAAATATAAAGAATGATTTTGAAATGTATGCATAAAAATTCTAGGGGTGACCAAAATAATACGGTCAAGTTTCTCACGAAAGGTGACAACAATTCTGTAGATGATCGAGGTCTGTATGCACCTGGTCAGCTCTGGTTAACGCACAAGGATGTGGTTGGCCGAGCGAGAGGCTTCCTACCATATGTTGGCATGGTCACTATATACATGAATGAATATCCTAAATTTAAGTATGCAGTATTAGCATGTCTTGGATTGTACGTTTTGGTACACAGAGAATAAAATTGTTCGATAAGTTAAACATTATATTGCGATAATCTGATCGTTTCTGAGGGAATGCGCAATTTACTAAAAATAAGGACACACATACCAAACTGTGCACAATATAATAATTTAATGCATACGTTGCTGATCTTGTACTATTAATGAAGAATACTAAAATGTTCAAGCCAAAGTGCATTTCCTTGTATGTAAATATATTTGCATATTCGAATCGATAATCTCAAATTAAATATTTTGCTGGAATTATTGCGTGTAAATTAAATATTTGATTTTGATTTTTCCATCAAGATACGATTTGTAGTAAATACTCTAAAAAATAATAAAAATGATAATGATAAGAGATGATAATTTTGTTTTCAGAATATTGAAATGCGCGCATGCTAGATTAAAATGGCAAGATTACTAAAGGCGTTAGCTATAAAGGTCACTTCGATCAATTCCAATTAACTTTGATCTGTCGTTAACCTTTAGACTGCCATTTTTTTATATTTAAAATAGTGATGCTTTTTTTTTTCAAAAATTTGATTATATAAGTAACATACACATGGCGCACAATTTCAAAATCTGTGCAAAGCTACAAAAGTGGCTTTTCTGGTAAGGAACATACGATTAAATATAAAAAATATTTATTTTCTCAAAAATAGTTTATTTTGGGGGTTTTTGATATCGCTGATTCTCTCAGAACTTTTCTATTACCCAAAGCTAACGACACGTAGGAAGTTTGTAGCTCCTTTTTGATTTTCCTTTTTATTTGATTTTTAATTTTAATTTTTTTTTTTACTTTTTTCTTGTTTTATAATTACTAAAAGTAGTGGTATTTTAAACTAAACTCAAGAGCACAAGCTTTTTCGGCAATCTAAAGGTTAATAAATGCAATTGATCAATTCTAATGAACTAATCATCGATTAAAATTAATCGGAATAAGTCAAAGTGACCCTAAATATTGCAATGTCTAAAAGACATAAGTAAAGTTAAAAAGAATTAGGCAATTTTTTAGAAACGTTCTCATTTTTGTTTCTCAGGTAATAATTAAAGTGACGCCACTGTTTGTGATAAGATAATCCTTGTGGCACACATGTAGCATTTATATACGTTAGAGAAATCATTGTTTATTTTTCTCCGCTTCCACTTGAAAAGAGCGGCAACTTATTATATGTAAAATCCGAAAAAAATAAATTTTGTTGTAATTCTTAATATGGCATGCTGTATAATTACTTTTATTTCAGATATGGAATAAATTTGTAATATTTGGGTACAATATGGTACTGTAAATCTCTTAGTTTATAATTAATTTACATTAAGTTGTGCATTTTGATCTTTTATAAGTTTTATTTCCTCAATTCTGTCAGTAAATAGTTCAAATGGACGATAAAATTAAATTAAAATATTATAACATATTATATGCAATTATCATGCATATGTTTTTGTATCAAATAAAATAAATTTCTGTTATCAAATTAAAGCGTTATCAAATTAAAGCAAATTAATAAGTTATAATATACATATATTATCATACACTTGATATGATGTTACAATTTGTTAATTGCTTCATGGCGGAGTAATCGATAAATTATCACTATGAACTGCTTATCTATTGATAATTAACAATTAACTGACATTCTGCTGACTTATTTTATTATATCTGCTGAGATATTTATTATCAAGAAAAAAAGGAATATTTAACGTGATTCTAAACGTATCCATAGCTTTTTGGGAGAAACAATTAGACCTGGCAATTTGTCCTCGAGGCTCGATGGCTCACCTTCAACGAAGAAGAAGTTAAAGTTTTGTACCAAAAGAACCACTGTCTCGAACAGGTTGTGTCTAGCATAAGTTTCTCCTGCGCATAGCCGATGACCTACAAAAAAGCTTTTTTGTAAAAAAACTTCAACAGAATTTATTGAACTTTATTAAAATCATATATATCGATTTACCAAAACCAAAGGGAAGCGTAAAATCTTTAGCTAATTGGCCGTCTTCCTTCAAAAATCTTTCCGGTCTGAAAACTTCAGGATCGCCCCACAAGTCAGGATCATGATGCATAGCCGCCAAGTTAATGAAAATTAATGTGTTTGCCGGTATCTCATAGCCTTCTAACGTAGTTTTCTTCAGACATTTGTGAGTTACGCTGAGAGGAGTGAGAGTTTCGATTCTCATCGTTTCTCGTATTGTCGCTTCCAAATAGGGCAAGCTGAAACAAAATGAAAATATTTTAAGTAATTACTTAGGATCTCTGTATTGCTGAATGTAATTGAACTTGAATTCATGCTAACATTTGAAAATTATAGTAATACTTTTTACGTCATAAAACCAATGTGAAAAAACTGATATAAAACAAATCGATTTTTAGTGTTATGTAAAGCATGTGATAAGCATGATATATATATATATATATATATACAATGTTTTACCAAGTGCATTCTTATCTTCAGTTTTAATAAAAAAGATTGATAAATCGTATCTTGATTTTTATAATTTAGCTTTACGTCTCTTTGTATTTTTATTTTAATTTACCAAGAATTTATCTGCGATATATGTGTAATAATTTTTAATTAAATTGTATAATCAAATTTAGATTAATATGAAATAGCAATAAATAGTCATCTGACTATTTATTGTTATTTCATATTAATCAAACTAAGCAGATTGTGGTTAGTTAAATACATGCGTAGCGAATATTTAAACTCGATTTTCTTGAACACGGAGCTTTATATAAAAAATTTTATTCTATAATTTTCGACTTATTTTTACATAAGAAATCATCTCCTTCCCAGTTGTACTACGATTTTTGAAATATCCTATATTGATATTTATATATTTTATAAATTGCAAAACGTTAACTTGCGGTTATTCTATGTGTATCCACTGATATTTTATACTAACATTCTTTCTTGTTCTTGTGATTTATCGATTTATAATTAAAAAGAAATTGTTCTTTCTCCTTTAAGTGCACAATAATCGTAAACTCACTTTTTTCTATCGTCCCATGTGGCTAATCGTCCGGTCCCAACAACATTATCTATTTCGTTCTGTACTTTCTCCATAACTCTAGGATGATGCATGAGATACTTAATAATATGAGTAATCACAACTGGTATTGCAGAGAAAGCGGGAATCATTACATCAGTTAACAACATGATTAATTGTTCCTCCGTGAAATTATCCAACTTATCGTTTCCGTTCAATTTCTTTAGGTATCTATCGACGAATCCTTGATCATCATTCTCGTTGATAATAGTTTTTTGATAATCCAGATATTTCTATGGAATAAAATACCATCTTTTTCTTAACTGGGAATACTCGAGTAAGCAAGTCAATAAATAAATCGTTACACTGTTTAAATTTGAAATTTTGAAAACTTATGATTTAAGCACAGAGTGATATGTTCGCATACAATAATTTAAATACATTTGTCAATTGAAATTAATTATCATTTGTGAATTTCAATTATAATTATTTGAATAATAATTTACTTTGATTATATTTGATATTGTGGTGCTTCCTTTCATATGGTTTGTGTAACCAAACATGTTACCGAAGTATCTATAAATCGATCGCTGGGAAATAGCACCGCCAGTTGTATCATTTGCTCTTTGAAACAATGTAGACATATGACAGAGGAGTCGCGATATATCGTGCTCGCTTCTATCAAATCTACGACCGAACATAATGTTCCATATGTTGTTAGCCGCCGACGCATGCAGAATGTTCGGAAAGAGCGCCAAATTGCCTTTTAGTATCTCCTATAAATAATGAAATTGTTTTCTATCTTTTTTCATCAAAAGATTTTTACGTACAACGATTGTACCTTCTCTCCGTCATAAATGGGTCCGTTCTTCAAAATGTCAAGGAATAAAGTCATTTCATCCATGATCTCGCTTTCGAGCTTGTCTTGTCGTCGACCGAATCCAAAGTCGCGCATATGTCGGAGAGTAAATCTCCTCTGTTCATGCCATTGCGAGCCCTCGATGAAAAATATACCTACATATATGCAATTTTATAATATTTATTTACTAATACATAATCAAAAAAGTTCGTTAAATACGCTTTAATTATCGTTATCGCGTAAATTTCCAATTTCGAAGAAACGAACAGATGCTTTTGATATAGAAGAATTGAGGAACAGACTTTCAATATTTAATATAATTATGTATTCACTTTTCGATGTACATGCATTAATGATGAATGCTTTCTAAAGCATTTCAGAGTTTATAATATGAATCTTTCGACACTGAACACTCCATCTCTAACTAAAAAAAATGAAATTTTGGACAAAACGCATTTTGAAAGTCTGCTGCTCAATTATATTGCATGTACATTGAAAAGTGAATACATAATTATATTAAATACGAAGAAGAACATTATTACGATCAAAGTTAGATGTTTCGAATAATACTATATATATATAAACGTGAATCCAAATACGGTGAAGTGAACGCTAAAGTCAAAGTTTATCCTTTTCTTAATTAGTTGTTAACCCTAGTATGGCATTATTATTTTTGATTGCCTTCCCGATAATACCAGAGTTTGTGAAACCCTGCAACTTGGTCACACTATATATCTCTGGATTGATATGTATTAGCTCAAAACGTGTGAAATTTATACCTCGAAGTCAGACAAAGACAGATAAATATGAATTAAATAAATATTTTATTTTCAATTAATTACAATTAATTTCAATTAATTGCTTCAAAGAAATTTTATTGGAAAAGTTCGTAAAAAATGACTGATTTGGATGAAAAATTCTCAAATTTTTCAATTTAATGTTCAAGCAAAAATCCGTAGGAGTAGTTGATCCTTTGGATTAACAAAAAAAATAGTACGATATGAATCGCTCAAAAAAGTATAATTATTTGAACTATCGAAAATCGACATTTTTGAAAAATCTATTATAAGTTCACAATTAATAAATAAAATTTTATTATTTAAACGATATAAAATAGTAGATAAAGGAATACATGTAAATATTATTATAGTATATATAATATTAAGTTTATTAGGATTTAATTTAGAGAATAATGCAACACTCGCTCTAAAGCAATACATTCGTCAGGCTGAACGATCTTCGAAGACTGACAGAGATTATAAAATTTCTACTATTTATTATATTGAAATAATTCTTTTTAATTCTACATTTCCATACTTACTTTTATACTATCCGAAACTCAGTAAATGTATAAATATTTAATAAATAAAAAATCGCATAAGATACGTTGAACCTATGAAGACCGTATTAAGACTTTCTGTTAAGAAGAGTAAGATAACGATAAGAAGATAAGATCTTAGCGTTTATCGTATCTGAATAAAAAAAATTGCAAAAACTATCCTTCTCTCTCTAATGAGTGATCATCTTCCACGGTTCATTTGAATTTTCTTTAAATACGTATCGCGCAATTTATTATTTATATCTTTGTTTCGAATTTTATTTCAGATAAAATTAAGTGCCGATAACTGAATCCGCAAATTAAATTAAAAAGATTGTAAAGAACTTATTGCGAAAAATATTATCTCTGCTAGGATTTGAATCAATTTCGAAGAGTACAATAAGTTCTTTACAGTTTTTCTAATTTAACTTAGGAGGGGATCAATAGCGTTTCCAGATTGATTGTGTTGAAAGTTCAAAAGTTATAAATGCTCAATCTGATGTATTCATATGTACGATCTCTCATTCTAAAGTCTTAATAGTTCACATAATTATATTTTTCATTACCTAATTCCTTTCCGAAAGCTCGATCCTTTATAAACTGCGCTGTAGTAACTCGGCCATCAAATTCCTCTCTTGAAAGTACTTCTTTTATGCTTTTGTAATCGTTCACTATTATTGAAAAGTAATCACCCATATAGCAACTGATAATCTTTGATTTTAGTTTCTTCACATAATAATCGATGGTTAAATATGGAAATTTGTAGTTTCCCCATAACAACATCCAGTAAGATCCTCCTATCGGAATTCTGATAATGCCTATCTCAAATACAAGTTCCAATATTAAGATCTATCATAAATAATTTAGAATTTAATGTCACAAAGATATTCGTTAAATATAAGTATAAAGAAATAAAATCTGATAAAACTATTTTTAAGTTAGAGACTGTTAACTATATCTGTGGATGTAAATAGACAAGATCTCTGACAAGAAATTAATAAGAAAACGTTCCCTTCCAATTTTTATGCGCTTTTAATATGTTATAAAATAAGAGATACGTATATTTTTTTATACATGCTATATGCACTTTTGGAAGGTGATACATCTCTTTAAAGAAAATCAATTATTTTTTTCTAAGCGAATTTCGTCAAAAAGAATGAAAAAATCTTTTTATCATTATTATAAATGGTAAATCTTGAAATTATTCTATTTTTATTAAAGAGATGTTTTTCCATCTCTTATAGTTTCGACGATATTCACTTCGAAAAAAAATTAATTGATTAGGTGTTTCATTTGCTAAAAGTATATAAGTATGTATAAAAAAAATATGTATCACTTATTTTCTAGACTACATATTAAAAACTTACCAAAATTGAAGGATGCTTTCTTATGTTTCTTCGTAAAAAGAAGTTAGAGAAAATATTTAATGGCTAATAATAAAAGTGTGATGTAATTTAATATTCTATAACAGAGATTGAAAAAAGTAAAAATTAACACAAGATAGTTTATAATATTTTATAGAATTCTAATTTTGTTTACCCGGAGGTGTATTAGGCGGTTTATCATAAGCAAATTTGTATAGTTTATATATCACAAGAAGCGTAAGTATTACAATTAAAAATAGCGACATGATTTAAACAGGTCAAACAGTAGATATCAAATGAGTGCTTCGCGAAACGAACGGAATTTTATAAAACTCGTCAGTTTGCGTAATCCTGACAAGTGGATACAGAGATATGAATGTTACGATGAAAGACAGAAAGATATATAATTTGGCATCCCCTCACAATTTAATGTTTTCCCTCCAACACCAAATACTATCATGCAATTTAAGAATAATATATCCATAAAATACTAAATAAAATTCCTAAGGTAATCTTCTCGCTTATAGCAATTAAAGTAAGACGTAATTATAAAATATTTGCACCTTGGCTAAGGCGTATCTTTTGACCTACGATCATACTTGTGCTAAAAAAAAAAACAGAAATAATGATGAATGTTTAATTAAAAAAAAAAGCGAACATAATTAATTCTGACACAGTATAACGATGATTAAAAAAAGATAAATTTAACATAATGGTTTATATATATCATAACGTCAATGAAATAAATGCTTTATAGTTCTGAAAAACAAATATAATAAAATTAAAGTGCATAATTTAAGCTTTTTATTGTGAGCTTTTGAAAAATATTGGATTTATCTAAAAACAAAGATAGGATAAAATCATAAAATATTATGTACAGTAACAATGAAAAAGTACATTTCACAAAAAAAGAAATCGGCTTTTTCTATTTATCAGAATTATTTCCCACGTGCATCTTTTAAATTATTCTATCAACCGTATTCACTAAATAGTCGGTCAATTGAGATTTACAAATAGATAAACTCTTTTACTTTCCATTCTTCAAATTTAAAAGAAAATCTATCGAGTTTTCTAAGTTATATTAGTTTTCTAAGTTATAGAGGAGAATTGCTATCCTCTATATATAATTTCTTCAGCTATTACACAATAATTATTCAACAATTTATTTTATTATTAGTCACAAATTATATCATCAATCCATTAATCAAAAAGTTGTATACCATAATCTCGTAATTTTTTGCAATCGCATATATATCTTAAAGAATAATTAAAATAAATGTATTCTGACAAAAAAATGTTTGCTTTACAAATGATTGTATATTAATGTGTTTTTACATCACAAACAAAATATCTAAGTACCTAATACGTTTCACTTTTATCTCTGAACTACAGAGGTTTACACGAGAATATAATATTTCTATCAACGCATTTTTTCCACACACACATTATATAGAATACACTATATATACAAATACGCGCGCATTTCGTAAATTATTCGAAATATTTGATATCACCACCCTGACATACGACTGGCAAACTACTGTTGAGCACCGAACGCATTCGATCGTCATTAATTACCGTATAGCCTACATTCGGTGATAGCTGGTACAACATACAAATGCAATCTTCCAGATTTTGCATGATCGCTCGATCGAACACTGGTGTCTCCATCAGATCGAAATGCAACTTCAAGAATACAGTATAAAGTGGGGCACAATGTGCAGCTATTCGTAGACGAAACATTAAGAGGAACGTCTTTGCCATCTAAATATAAAGAAAATACAAACTGAGATTAATATTTGTTTTATTTATTTTATATTGTATGGCGTATTATGCTATTTTAAGATTATACCTCCAATGTCGCCTTTAACGTCCTTAAATCTGTGTGATGTTCGCAGTATTCAGTAAGTATGCGAATGAGCGCTCCACACCATTTGGCACAGCCTATATTTGTAATGAGTTGAGGTAAACTCAACATATATACATGCCGTAATTCAATATTCTGCTCAAATTCCATGTTCTCTATCAAAGTTGAGAGAACTTCATCACGTGTTGTCCACTGCAAAAGTGAAAATTATAATTTCAAGACTGAACATTGATTTCTGATAATCTTGTGAATAGCATTACCTCAAATAGATTTATGGTATTATCCCAATGTTCCATAGTAGCTAAAAGACTGGCCATACAGGAATACAAAGGAATAATGTATTTTGCTTCCTTTTGATGAGTTAAAAGTTGCAAGGCATGATAAATCAGTTTAGCATAACCAGAATCTATCAGTCCTTTTTTCTAAAATATTTGTTAAATGAATACATATTAAATATACATAATATACATAATATAGTATAAGACACACTACATGTGCGTGAGAATAAATTCTATATATATATATATATATATATATACCATATAAGAATGCTG